TCCTGTTCCCTTACTTGGAATGTATTCTATAATAAGCTTTGTAGAATCATTTGACTCTTTAAATATATGCACGAATAATTTTTTAAATAAAAATTTGATTTTTAAAAATTTTCTATTCTACTTCCCTTAAAGTTCAGGCGTGAAAGGGAGAAATTAGTAGATACAAACTTCTGTGATTAATCAGATTATGTTAATACTGGACATCTTATATTGCCTATACTAGAGAGCGTCCTAAAGACAGATCTGTGTCAATTCCATAGTTTTATAACCCTCTGTAGTACCTACAATATCACTGAGCATCTTGTAGATATTCGGAATACAGTTTTTCTTTACAGAGTAGATGGTGTTATATTGTTAACATATAACAAAATATGGATTACCACAGCAATTGTGGATTCCATATAATAATCATGATTGAGTTTATTCTTTAATAAGTCATTCAAAGAATAATTCAAATCTTAGGGAAGCTATTTTTTTACGCCCCAGCCCAAAAAGATTTTTAATCAGAAAGGCCTTGAAAATCGGCATGGCACATAAATACTCAATATTCTTCTTTATTCACAAATTGAAAGATTCATAATCTACAAATATTACCAAAGGAAGGAAAAGGCATTTTTTTAGCTTTACTGAGGTATAACTGACAAATCAAATTATAAGATACTTAAAATGTACAATGTGATATTTGATACACATTGTGAAAGGATTCCTGTCATCCAGTTAATTAATACATCTGTCACCTCACATATAGGAAGGTAAAATTTAACAAATAAAATTTAACATCTGGGCTGGCCCCGTGGCTTAGTGGTTAAGTGCGCGCGCTCCGCTGCTGGCGGCCCAGGGTTCGGATCCCGGGCGCGCACCGACGCACCGCTTCTTCAACACCATGCTGAGGCCGCGTCCCACATACAGCAACTAGAAGGATGTGCGGTTATGACATACAACTATCTACTGGGGCTTTGGGGGAAAAAATAAATTAATAAAAAAAAAAAAAATTTAACATCTGTCATGACTTCAAAACAATTTCTCAATAAGCACATAATTCTATTTTATCTCTACTTCTATAACAAATAATGCTCCATTAAATAATTACTATTTGATTAAAATTTTTTGATTTCAACAATCTCTTCAGAAATATCCCATACCACCTCCCTGTAAGATCTATATGGATCAAAAATATATTAAGTTATTTTTGAAAAGAAAGTGACATGGCAAAATGGATAAAAATACTAGTTTAAATAAGATATAACAAGTCTGAAAGGATACAGGCCAAAGTATTAACAGTGGTTATCTCTGAGCGCAAGAATACAGGTGAGTGATCCTTCCCTTCGTTACCTTTGTTACCTTTTTTTCCTTTCTGCCTAGCCATCCAATTTTCCTACAAGGTACATATTAAAAGCATTTAAAAGGACATAATGAAAAATAGCTCTCCCAAAATGAACTCATAGTACACCTTAGCATGGATGTTCCTAAGTCGTCCCTTGCAAGTCAGTGATAAAAGCTAGGGGAATAAAACTTCAAAATAAATGAAAAGGCATAAACTTAAAAAGAAGGAGAAAGGAGAAACACAGTGGAACCATAACTTCTCTTAATAAATATGGCTGAAAACTATATCTCAAATCATTCTGCATCATCTTAATTACCCAAAGAAGTAACTTGCAGAAACATTTGTACTACACTTTGTATTACTATCACCTTCAATATTATTTTCTAAAAAGTATTCTAAAAATCTTAGATAAAAGTCTTAGCACTTACTGCTGTAAGGCCTTCATTATTACAAATGTTGACATCAGCACTGTATTCTAATAACTTACTCATGCATTTCTTCTGCCTGAAAAAGAAAAAGAGACAGTGACAGATAACTGGTACTAGAAAAATAAACACATGGCAATTATTTTACTGAAATATTAACTATACTCAGCATTAGTTGATGGCAAGTATCTGTATCTGCAATATTTAACATTTGAAATAAAATATATATTTTATTTCATGTTTTAATACATGTTATACAAACATATAACATTTGAAATAAAATACGAAAATTGTTTCTATGACTCAAAGATAACAGGATAAAGAAAAAGCACAATGAGGTTTTCATGTCATTGGGACAAATTCATTATTCAAAATTCCGAGAACCTTCTAGTGTTGACTGACTAGTTGGAAAAGTAATCTTCATTAGAAATTTGAGACAATATAAGTCTAATGGAAAACGAATGGATATAGCAAAATGATGTCTCATTGTATCCTACATTCTTGATTGCAAAATATTTAAAAGTTAATGCTGAGTTATAAAAATATAACGAAAAAATTAATAAAATTCACGTCTATGTATCCCCCTACCCACTTCATTTTTTTTCCTATTATTTTTACTGTGGTAAAATACACATAACATAAAATTTATCATCTTAACCATTTTTAAGCATACAGTTCAGTGGTATTAAGTACATTCATACTGTTGTGCAACCATCACCACTATCCATCTCACGAACTCTTTTCATCTTGCAAAACTGAAACTCTATACCCATTAAAGAATAACTCCCCATTCCCTCTCCCCCTACTCCCTGGCAACCACTGTTCTTCGTCTCTATGATTTGGGTTTATCCAAGTACCTCACAAAAGTGGACTCATACAGTGTTTGTGTTTTTGTGACTGGCTTCTTTCACTTAGCATAATGTCCTCAAGGTTCACCCACATTGTAGCATGTCAGAATTTCCTTCCTTTTTAAGGCTGGATAATATTCTACTGTACGTATATACCACATTTTGCTTATCCATTCATCTGTCAATGGACACTTAAGTTGCTTTCATTTTAGCTATTATGAATAATGCTGTTATGAACATGGGTGTACAAATATTTCTTCAAGACCCTGCTTTCAATTTTATTGGGTATATACCCAGAAGTGGGATGGCTGGATCATGTGGTAATTCTATTTTTAATTTTTTAAGGAACTGCCAAACTGCTGGTTTTCAGAGCACCTGTACCACTTTACATTCCCACTAACAGTGTGCAAGAATTGCAATTTCTCCACATCCTCACAACCACTTGTTTTCTGCTTTGATAGCCATGCTAATGAGTGTGAGTTGGTATCTCACTGTAGTTTTGATTTGCATTTCCCTAATGATTAGTGATATTGAGCATCTTTTCATGTTCTTATTAGAACATGAAAAGATAGGAAACATGAAAAGATATGCATTTGTATATCTTTTTTGGAGAAATGTCAAGTCCTTTGCCCCCTTTTGAATTGCCTACCCATTTCATTTTGCTCACAATGTTTCCTCTTAGATGATCCATTCCTAGTCACTATCCAATATTCATCTCAATTTCCCCTTCATTAAATAATAAAATAAAAATTCCTGCTTTGGAAACTGAAAATGATACACACACACGCAATATATATATAATATACATTTTATTTATTTTTTGTGTGTGTGTGAGGAAGATCAGCCCTGAGCTAACATCCATGCCAATCCTCCTCTTTTTGCTGAGGAAGACCGGCTCTGAGCTA